GCGATAAAAAAAGATTAAGAGGTAAATAAAAATATAATTTCATATTTATATAATCAATCACGTGTACCATATATAAAATGCACTTTTATATTCTCAATAACTTTTAAACATGAATGTAATTTCCGAACAGATCAAAGGATCATATGATGTAACTAGTATTATAGCTCTACACATCAATTATAAGTCGTTTTTCAAATATATATTTTATTAAATTGCACTTCGTATTGACATCGCATTGTGTTTAACATGAATATACGAAGAACACAAAAATTTGACGAGAAGCTGGTTCTATATTACTGATAAGTTAATTGCAATCTTGCCTGTGACTACAAACCAGAAATTGTCAATAGTACTGTTAACGTTTCTAATTGATTTCTCACAACAAATTTGAGATCTATTTGAAATTAATGTTAGAATCAGATATTTTAGATATTTTAAATTAAATAAATCTTTGATTGCATAATTTGTCTTCTTTTAAGATATCACACAATATTACAGAATATGTATAATAAAAATAAGCTGTTTAGTATTTTTTGAAACCATTACCATACTCGAGAATTCATTTTACGCAATATCAAAATCTCCGTCAGATTGACACGCGAGCAAATAATATTTTATGTGGAGAATTGTAACATTTACTATTTCAATAACGTACATATTTTATTTAAAGAAATGATTATAATAATATAAGGAACAAAAAATATTGTTTGGAATATATAAGAAAGATAAATCCACCTATTTTTATTATATTCTGCCAAGATAGCTCTTTTATTTTGATTGCATCCTTATTATTATTATCAGTAAATTTTTATTATGAAAAATTCACCCCTTCATAACTTCCCGTAGAAAACTTTCTATTCCTTACACACAAGGAAAATTATAAATAAACTTGCACGCAACCCTTTGAAAGTTTCTATATATTCGTTAACCATCCGATTGACGTGGCTTTTCAGTTTCCTTCACACGCAGGCGCACATGAAATATGAATCATGTTGTGCTTAGCAAAAGATACCATTCTTCACTGCAATCAGTGGAGAACAGATACGTTTCGTCTTCGTATCTCTCTGTATATGTCTCATAAAAGTGTTCTCATGTTACAAGCTTTCGTATTATGAAGTGGAAAGATTCCGTATAAGAAATTATAAAATTAATCAGTCTCTCAAGATGTTTGCCAATAAGTATTACGAACACGACATAGAAAATGCTTTTGGAATAAATCGTTTTTTCTTTCGTTTGTTAGGCATATGGCCATTTTCGCGCACTAATTCCCTTCTTTTTGAGCTGGCGGAAACGTTCACATTGATCTTCGCTTGTTTTGCGTTTCTCTTCTGCGAATTAATCCCGACTATGCTTTATGTATTTATGGTGTTGACAGACTTTCGTTTGAGGCTGAAAGTCATGGCCAGCGGGATCTTTACAATAACAGAAATTATCAAGTACAGCTATGCTGTACTTTACAAAAGTCAAGTGAAAAATTGTCTAATACTGATTGATGAAGATTGGCGAAACGTCATCAATTCGAGTGATCGCAATTCGATGATTGACAGAGTTAAAACTTGCAAACATCTAATTGTAATATGCGCTATAATCGTGTATGTGACCGGAATGGCTGTCCGAATGATCATTCCGTTATCAGTGGGGAAGATCGTTACTTCTCAAAATATCACTATCAGACCACTGCCTCACGTTGCCTATCTCGTTATATTTGACGTGCAACGTAGTCCAGTTTATGAAATCGTATATTTCGTACAATTTCTAGCAGGACTTATAAAGTACACAATTACGATAACAACATTTGGTTTTATGACACTTTGCGCGATGCATTTCTGCGCGCAATCAGACATACTCGTGACTTTAATGAATGATTTCGTGAACGAAAATCAACCGGAAAACTTAAACAAGAGATTGGCTATTGTCGTGGAACGACAAATCAGAATAAGAAAGTGAGTCTTTTTTTGGGTTCAATAATAAGATTCATTCGTTAATTTTTTGCTGTAAATCTCTTTAACCCGAATCAGTAGATAGTCACTAATTATCCAGTGGCATACTTTGCATTGATAGTCAGTGAAGTTCAACTAAAAAGGAAGAACGTTGGAGCATTATTTAACTACTGATATTTGCACGTTAAATTCAATCTACCAATATCATATTCATTGAATTTAAGCATTAAAATAAGATTAGATCACAATAAAGATTAACTAGTTTAGGGATCTTATATTCGTTGATTACCAGTGGCATATTTCACTGATATCAGTGATTATCCACTGATTCAGATTTAGAGAGTAACGTATTTACACTGGCAACTATGTTAGAGCTTAATAAACAGTATATTTATGCAAAATGATATTATCTATTATCAAAGATACATAAGATATTGGATACTGGTAATTTTTGTTAAAAACAATTTTCATAATTTTTTCTCGCAATATATTTTAGTTTCTTACAATTGGTACAGAGTACTATTCAGTACACAAGTTTAATACAAATCGTGGGATCTACGATGATGATATGCTTAGTAGGATATTACGTTATCATGGTGCGCAAAAAAAGTATTTACATAACAACAAATTTCAAGGAAAATATAAATTTAGAGAAATGATAAAAGGTGTATTATATCATAATTTAATGTTCTAAAAAATTAATAAAAATTCTATTTACAGGAATGGGAAAAACATAATGTTGTTAATATTTGCGCATATATCAGTGGACTAATAATGTTGTGGTACATCATATTTATTTACTGCTACATGGGCGAGCAAATCATTGAACAGGTATATTTTTTATCATCGATGATAGTAAAATATAGTAACAAATGGAAAGTCAGAGGAATGTTATTTTTTTGTTTACATCGTTAACACTTTTGTATTTAATTGACAAAAATCAGGGAGAAAAGGTATCATTAACAACATGCACTTTAGAATGGTACCGTCTTGAAGACGCAACAGCACGAGCATTGATTTTACTTATAACTATTTCTGAAAATCCATTGAAACTTAAAGCAGGAAATTTTATAGATATTTCCCTCAGAACATTTGGCAATGTAAGTAACACAGCTATTCTTTCGAATTTATTAAATAACATAGTTAAAATCATAAAAATCATATTTCTGCGGAAAGGAAGAGCGTATTTTAATATAGATATACATTTATTTTAGGTTGCTAAGATGTCTATGACGTATTTAAATCTTCTCCGATCAGTTGTCTAAATTTTAAGAGTTAATCGGAATATAAATAGCAGAAGAACAGTAATAATAAACATTTGTTACCATGAAATGGAAGTCATAGCATACTTAAACGCAGTGCTTTTATTTTTCAAATATCTTTGATTGAAATAAAACGTATGAAATCGTTTTCGAATGTTCATATTCTGATCTCATAATATAATTTTTTAATTATTCTTTATTCAATTTCTGATGCATATATATATAAAATAATATAAAAAAATATTTAGATAAAAGATATTATTAGATTAATAAATATATCATCAAAAAATATATACAAGAAATGTTTATTAGATATTTGATATTATATTAAGATAGAAAAGGCTGATCTTGATAAAATCAAAGGAAAATTGTTTATGCTTGTCACTTTATGGTTATATTTATTTTAACTTATAAAATTGCTTAATTCGTCTAATTAAAAATCCGATCTTTGACCCAAGTCAAAATCAGTATACATAAATAAGCATATTTTTCAGTAATATCTTAGCGCAAGTACAATAACAAGTATATTAAAAAACAAAGTTCTCCATCGACAAATTAATGTATTATAAATTTGTATGTATTTTAATATATTAATATATTAATATTAATATATTATTAATCTGTATTATTATTATTATTATTATTATTACTGATAAACGTGAGTGAACAAAAGAGACGTTATTTTATTATTTATATTACTTCCAAATGACACTATGCAGAATTTTGATAACAACAGAAAATTTTTAAAGAATCTTCCTTCTCGCTGAAAATAAAAATTTGACGAAATAAGCTGGTTCTATATTACTGGTAATTGCAATCTTGCCTGTAACTACAAACCAGAAATGTCAATCGTACTATTAACGTTTCTTCTAATTGATTTCTCATCACAACAAATTTGAAATTAATATTAGAATCAACTTTAGATATTTTAAATTAAATCTTTGATTGCATAATTTGTCTTCTTTTAAAATATCACACAGTATTACAGAATATGTGTAATAAAAATAAGCTGTTCAGTAACATTATTTATTTTTTGAAACTATTATCGTATACTCGAGAATCATTTTATGCAATATCAAAATCTCCGAGATCGCGTCAGATTGACACGCGAGCAAATAATATTTTATGTGGAGGAGATTATAATATTTACTATTTCAATAACGTACACATTTTATTTAAAGAAATGATTATAATAATATAAGGAACAAAAAATACTATATATTACAGAGATAAATGTACTTATTTTTATTATATTCTGCCAAGATAGTTTCTCTATTTTGATTACACTCTATTATTATCAGTAAGTTTTTATTACGAAAAATTCACCCCTTCATAACTTCCCGTAGAAAACTTTTTGTTCCTTACACAGAAGGAAAATTGTAAATAAACTTGTACGCAACCCCTTTGAAAGTTTCTATATGTTCGTTAACGTCTGCTTGACGTGGCTTTTCAGTTTCCTTCACACGCAGGCGCACATGAAATATGAGTTATATTGTGCTTAGCAAAGGATACTATTCATCACTACGATCAGTAGGAAACAGACACGTTTCGTCTCTATATCGTGGCTTACAAAAGTGTTCTCATGCTATAAGCTATCATATATTATGAAGATATAGAAAGATTTCGTATAAGAAATTGTAAAATTAATCAGTCTCTCAAGATGTTCGCCAATAAGTATTACGAACGTGACATAGAAAATGCTTTTGGAATAAATCGCTTTTTCTTTCGTTTATTAGGCATATGGCCATTTTCGCGCACTAATTCCCTTCTTTTTGAACTAGTGGAAACATTCATATTGGTCTTTGCTTGTTTTGCGTTCCTCTTCGGCGAATTAATCCCGACTATACTTTATGTATTTATGGTGTTGACAGATTTTCGTTTGAGACTGAAAGTCATGGCCAGCGGGATATTTACAATAATAGAAATTATCAAGTACAGCTATGCAATACTTTACAAGAGTCAAGTAAAAAACTGTCTAATATTAGTTGATAAAGATTGGCGGAACGTCATCAATCCGAATGATCGTAATTCGATGATCGACAAAGTTAAAACTAGTAAACGTCTGATTGTAATATGCGCCATAATCGTATATGTGACCGGAATGGCTGTTCGAATGATCATTCCGTTGTCAGTGGGGAAGATCGTTACTTCTCAAAATATCACTATCAGACCACTGCCTCATGTTGCCTATCTCGTTATATTTGACGTGCAACGTAGTCCAGTTTATGAAATCATATATTTCGTACAATTTCTAGCAGGACTTATAAAGTACACGATTACTGTGACAACATTTGGTTTTATGACACTTTGCGCGATGCATTTTTGCGCGCAGTCAGATATACTTGTGACATTAATAAATAATTTCGTGAATGAGAATCAATCGGAAAATTTGAACACAAGATTGGCAACTGTAATAGAGCATCAAATCAAAATAAGGAAGTAAGTGTTTCCTTGCGTACAATAATGAAATTCATTCGTTGATTCTATAAAGTAAATCGAACGTATTCACACTAGAAAGAAACCATGTCAGAGCGTAATACGCGATAATACACATTCTATACAATGGGTAATGTGTCTTCAATTATCAAAGATAGTCGGATTAGATATGGGATTAGAAGCTAGTAATTTTTGTTATAAACAATTTTCATATTTTTCTCGTAAAATATTTTAGTTTCTTACAATTGGTGCAGAGTACCACTCAGTACCCAAGTTTAATAGAAATCTTAGGATCTACGGTCCTATTATGTTTCGCAGGATATTACATTATCATGGTACGCAAAGAAATATTTACGTAACAATTAATTTTAAAGAAAATACTAGATAGACATGATAAGGTACATGCATTACGTTATACTTTCATGTTGTATAAAAAATTAATAAGAATTTAATTCGCAGGAATGGGAAGATCACAATGTTATTCGTCTGTGCGCATATATCAGTGTACTAATAATGTTCTGTTTCAACATATTTATCTACTGCTACATGGGCGAGCAAATCATTGAGCAAGTATGTATTCTTGAATCATTTTTCATTGCCAATGGGTAGTAACAGTCAAATGTGGCAAATATAGCAAATAAATATAGCAAATAAATATATTAAAGTAAAATCAAAGGAATAGTGGTGAAATCATTTTGTTGTTCGCATTACTGACGTTTGTAATTAATTGATAAAAACTAGGGAGAAAAAGTAGCATTAACAACACGTACTTTGGAATGGTACCGTCTTCCGAATACAAAAGCACGAGCATTGATTTTACTAATAATTATTTCCGAAAATCCATTAAATCTTAAAGCAGGAAATTTAATTGATATTTGCCTCAGAACGTTTGGCAATGTAAGTGCTACGGCTATTTTATCTTATTAATATAATATTACAGTTAATATCATAAAAATTCTTTTTACCGGGAGAAAAAGCGATTAATAAAGACGTACATTTATTTTAGGTGGGTAAAATGTCTGTGACATATTTAAATTTTCTTCGATCAGTTGATTGAATTATAAGAATTATTCTGAAATATATGAATAACAGACTTTTATAACTATTAGTAAAACAGTAGCAATAAAAATTTGTAATCATAAAAAATTATAGTATATTATAAATTATAGTATACTGAAGCAAAGTGCTTTTCTTTTTCAAATATATTTGTTCCAAATAAAAACATTTACAAGTATTCATAATTAGTTCTTTCTTATAATTTATCATTAGAATTATTTTTTATTCAATTTTTGATGAATGTGCTTATAATATAATATAAAAACGTCTAAAAATAAAAATATATTCCGAGATTCATTAAAAATGTAGATAAGAAATATCTATTAAATATCTAACGTTATATTAAAAGACAACTAGAGAGAAATTATTTATATTTCTATGTAATTTATTGTTATTTATTCTAACGCATAAATAATAAATTAATTTTTTAATCTAACTAATATTCCATAGTTTTTGAATGCTCTAAGTCGATATCACGACATGAGATATGCATATTTTCAATAATGTGTCATATTGCTTGTATAAATATATTAAATAAATATATTAAATTTCAAAGTCCAAATTGCTTCGTAAACAAATAATATATTATACGGAAAGAATGATTTTGCTGAAGAGTCCAAAAATTTAATTAGAAATAGATCTAAACATAATTTTGTTGAATCATTAAAATTGTAGGATGTTTAAACTGATTGCTAAAATGTCAAAATTTTTTTCAGCATTGCTTATCATGCTTGAAATTCCTATCAAATTATTTTGATGGTCCAACAAAATTATTTTCCGATCCATATTTAACTAAATTTTTAGATTCAAAATTATTCAAAATTATTCTTTCCATATAATATTATTTTAAAAAATTTGAACTATTATCAATAAGTGCGAGTGAGAGAAAGTAATGTTATTTTATTACTTACAATTGTATTTACAAACGATCCTCTATGATTTTTTTGTTATAGACGATTTTTTTTTGCTCTGAATCTCTTTTTTTTATTAGAACAATGTTTATCAACGCATAATATCAAGTAGTAATATCAAATAATGTATTTTTTCTTTTCTAATATAGATATGTATGTATAGATGTGATATTTTCCTGAAATAGTGTCAAATACAAGAACTTAGTAAATTATACATATACAGAAGCGTGAGTAAAAAATTTTTACTTTTATTAATTTATTTTTTGAAACTATTACCGCACTTGAAAAGTTCTTCTTATGCAGCATTAAAATCTCCCAAACATTAATATAACACAAGCAAATAATGCTTTATATAAAGCACTGTAACGATTACTATCTCATTGTCAGAATACAGTACACATTTTAATAAAAGAAAGAATAATAATATAAAAATGATCTAGAATATAGTCGTACAAGTACAGTTACTTTTTCATGTATACTCGATTAAGTCAACTATTATTTTGTTTACAATTATTATATCAATAAATTTTCTTAGAAACGTTAATTCATCATAGCTTCGCAGAGAAAACTTTATATTCCTTAGAATGAAGGAAAAGCATAAAAGGGACTGCACGCAACTCTTTTAAAAGTTTCTATATGTATGTTAACCATTCACTTGACGTGGCTTTTCAGTTCCTTGATACGCAAGCGCACATGAATTATGAGTTATGTTTGTACTCTGCGAAAAATACCAGTTTGTCGCTGCGATCAGTGACGAATAGTACGTTTCGTCTCTGTATCGTAGATTACAAAAGTGTTTTCATGCTCTACGATATCACTATGAAGTGGAAAAATTCAATATAAGAAATTGTAGAATTAGTCTCTCAAGATGTTTGCCAACAAATATTACGAATACGACATAGAGAATACTTTCGTGATGAATCGCTTTTTCTTTCGTTTATTAGGCATATGGCCATTTCCACGCACGAATTCCCTTTTTCCGGAGCTGTTGGAAACGGTCGTGCTGGTCTTCGTGTGTTTTGCATTTCTCTTCGGCGAATTAATCCCGATTATACTTTATGTATTTATGGTGCTGACAGACGTTCGTTTGAGATTTAAAATCATGGCTAATGGAATATTTACGATAATAGAAATCATTAAGTACGGTTATACCGTGTTTTACAAGAATCAAGTGCGAAATTGTCTAGTACTGGTTGAAGAGGACTGGCGAAACGTCGTCAATCTAAATGATCGCATCTCTATGATTGGCAGAGTCAGAACTAGCAAACGTCTAATTGTGATTTGCACTGTATTTGTGTACTTGACCGGCGTGTGTGCCCGAATGATCATTCCTTTGTCAGTAGGGAAAATTGTTACTCCTCAAAATGTCACTATCAGACCACTGCCGTGTGCGGCCCATCTCGTTATATTTGATGTGCAACGCAGTCCAGTTTATGAAATCGTATATTTCATACAATTTGTAGCGGGATTTGTAAAGTATACGATTTTGGTGGCAACCTTTAGTTTCGTGACACTTTGCGGGATGCATTTTTGCGCGCAGTCAGACATACTTGTGACGTTAATGAACGATTTTGTGAATGAGAATCAATCGGAATATTTGAACAAGAAATTGGCCAATGTTGTGGAGCATCAGATTAGAATAAGAAAGTGAGTCTTTTCTTACATATAATAATCACTCATTTTTTAATATAATTGTAACATATTCACTCACTAGAAATTATATCAGAGCTTAATACGCGATAATACATTCTACGCAAATGGATAACGTGTCATTAATTATTAACGATATGTAGAATTAGCAATTAATAAATTTTGTTTAAACCAGTTTTTATAACTTTCTCACAATACATTTTAGTTTCTTACGATTGCTGCAGAGTATCACTCAGTATCCAAATTTAATAGAAATCCTGGGATCTACCGTGATGTTATGTTATGTAGGATTTTATATTATTATGGTACGCAAAATTATTTATGTAACAATAAATTTTAAGGAAAAAACCTTCACATAAATGTGACAAGATATATTACGTTATAGTTTCATGTGTTTAATAAAAAATTAAGAATTCAATTTACAGGAATGGGAAGATCATAATGTTTTTCGTTTGAGCTTATATTTCAGTGGACTAACAATGTTCTGTTTCAACATATTTATTTACTGCTATATGGGCGAGCAAATCATTGAGCAGGTATATGTTACCGAAACATTTTTCGTTATCGATGATTGATCAGAAATCGTGAAATATATAACAAACAAAGAGAGACATTAATGGAATGGAATGAAAATTCTTTTTTCATTCACATCACTGACGCTTATAATTAATTAATCAAAATTAGGGAGAAAAAATAGCATTAACAGCATGCACTTTGGAATGGCACCGTCTTCCGGATATAAAAGCACGAGCATTGATTTTACTTATATCTATTTCCGAAAAACCATTAAGACTCAAAGCAGGAAATTTCATTGATCTTACCCTTAGAACATTTGGCAATGTAAGTGACAGCTAATTTTTAATTCAAATTTATTTAATAAAATTAATAAACAATTCCTGTGGGAAGGAATAATTATTAATATATAGATATATATTTATTTTAGGTTGTTAAGATGTCTGTGACGTATTTAAATCTTCTTCGAGTTGATTGAATTTTAAGAATTAATCATAAATGTATAGATAGCAATAAAAGAGTAGCAATAAATATTTGTATAAAGTGGAAAATAAAATATTTAAATAGAGTGCTTTTCTTTTTCAAATATTTTTGTTCCAAATGAAATAAATTGAAAACGTTTAGAAATATTCATAACAGACTTTATTGTATTTTTTATTTAAAATTATTCTTCATTCAGTTTCTGATGAATATGCATATAAAATAATATAAAATATTTATATAAAATTATATTACGAAATTCATTAAAAAAATCTAAGCGAGAAACATCTATTAAATATCTGTGATATTTTATTACTATTATATGTCAAAACAAGAAGGAATCATTTTGATAATTACCGAAAAGAAATTATTTCATACTTTATGATTATTTATTCTAATGCATAGATTGTTTTATTTGTTAATATAATTAATTAATATGCCTCAATCTTCAATGTTCTAGGATTTCTTTGCACTAGCTTTTAACACTATTAATATTTTTCTTCTACTGTATCGGCGAATGCATTGTAGTTGCAGTAAATTTATTGGGTATATTCATTTAATTCTATCATATAAGACTTCAATTATATTGATACTCATTTTCATCGCACTTTTTAAATATGTAAAAATAAAAATACTTACATAAGAACTGAAATCTTTAACTTGCATAAATAAAAGCAATTTCATACATATTTATTACAATAGGCAGCTCAAGTAGTTTGGAGAGCAAATATACTAGAATAATATCTTCCAAGGAGTACACATAATGTGGTGCTGAAAATAATTATATATCATATATAATATTTCATAAAAAGTTAGGAATCTTAGGAAAATTTATTGTTCTTTCTTTAAAGACATTTACTGATGTAAGCAAAATATACGTATTTTTATATAAAACATTGCGACACTTCAATGATATTATATACATTATTCCCCGATTAGTAGAAAGAATTTTATACAAAGATATTTATTAATTGTTTCAGGTCATCAAATCAGAGGTTTTATATTTTAATATATTTTGGATTATTGTCGATTAAACAACGATAATGATTATTGAGACAAAAATCGACTTGTTAATTATTCACAAGAAAGTGCAGTATAACTACGTACATAATAACGTGAGTTAAGATAGTAACGATGATGTGCTGTGCAAAATAATAAGTTTTTCTCTCTCTTTTACGATATTATAATATATTTATTTATAAACGTATCTTCTGAAATAAAATAAAATGCTCTCAAAAATATATTTAAAAAATGTATTTAAATGTAATTTGAAATGTATGATTTAAGTTACTTAACTATGTAACTGGTCTCATGTAAAAGTAATCTTGCTGTATCAATTAATTACATACATCTCTACAATAGTTAAATAAATAGAAAAGTTCTCGTAGAAATATAAACTGTTAGCTTCACAGTCAACATTATGATTGTAAGTTAGAATTCACGAAGAAAGCAAGTTAAATGTAATGATTTTCCTGTAAAAGTCAATGTACGTAAGCGGATAAGAATACATTTCATGGAAAATAATCCTGTCCTTAGCGAACCACTCTATCATAAACTTTTCTACTCTCTCTTCTGCTCTCTCTTCTGTTCTCTCTTCTTATGCGGATTTGAATTTTTAAAATGCGCAATCATATGCGCGAGTTGGCTTCGTTCTTCAACGACTGGTGACAAACTCAGTTCGCATTCAGCTTTTGCATTAAGTAAACGAATAAAATCCGAAAGTATCGTAAAATATTCGTCAAAATTCACACAGAAATGCCGCAAAATAAGCATCACCAGAATGATATTTCGTACATTACGCAACCAACTCGCAACATTTTGCTCGCGCTCGGCGCTTGGCCGTTCGTCAGTAAAGGAAGATCCGTATATCCAAAAGCACACAATCTTTTACCAATCTGTATATCCTACATTTTCCTCTCTAGCGACATTATACCTGGTGTCCTTTACTGGTTGATGGCAGAAACGGCGCGCGTTCGACTGCAGACGATCCCTCTTCTCCTCTACGACTTCATGTCTGTCAGTCAATATGGCATTTTCATATTTCGCTATGATAAACTCAGGCGATGTTTGCAACATGTCGAGGAGGATTGGAAAAACGTTCTCAGCGCAGACGCACGGAATATTATGCTGAAATCTGCGAGAACGGGCAAACGCTTGGTCACGATTTGTGCAATCTTCATGTATAGCGGCGCCTTTACCTTCCGAACAATTTTGCCGTTGTTCCAGGGAAAGATCGTCATCGATCAGAACATCACGATAAGACATTTAGCCTGTCCGGGTTACTTCTTTTCCCTCGACGTACAAGTCAGCCCTGTTTACGAGACGGTCTTTGTAATCCAGTGTCTAACAGGATTCATTGCAGTTTCGATCGTGACATGTGCATGCGGTCTTACCGCAATTTTTGTAGTACATGCTTGCGGCCAATTGAAAATTTTAATCGGCTTGATGAGAGAACTTGTGCAAAAACAATGGCAAGAAGAACGTGAAATGGATATGAAGCTAGCTGAGATAGTCGAACATCAAACAAGAGTGCGCAAGTAAGTCCGCAATTTGCGAATGTTATTAATTCATCTTAATTTTAGTATTCTCTTAATTTTAGTATTCAATTTAGTATTTAGCTTAATTTTAGTATTTAGCTCCAATTAACATGTGTGCTTATTAATATTAATATTTATTAATAATGTGTTTATTAATAAAATTATTAACTTTTTTTGTTTTCTCATTTTATTATTTATGAGTCTAAGTGTTAATTGTTACTCTCGGTAATTATATTTCAGTTTTTTACGATTAGTGCAGCATACTTTGCAGGAAATATATGTGGTGGAATATCTGGTGAACACAATAACTATTTGCCTTTTAGTGTATTTTATGTTAGTGGTTCGTAAGTTGGTTAATTAATGCTAATAACGAAATAAATTAAATATTTTTACAAAATAAAATATTTTAATTTTATTATTATTAAAATAAAATATTTTTTAACGTAAAATAGAAAAGAAACAAAAATTTATTAATTTCTCATAATTAAAAATTTTTATTTGCATTCGAATTTTTATAATAATATATTTCGATAACAAATAGTTCTTTCAGATTTTACAGAATTAGTCATAATAATAAATTACTTAATAATAATAAAATCATACAAAACACTTATGCATTTATAGGATTGGCAAAATAGGAATATACCAACTTTATTTACTTATTGGTTATGTATTGTAAATGTAACAACTCACATGTTTCTATTTTGCTACACTGGCGAACAACTTACCGGCCAGGTAAAATTTATAGATATTAATGTAGTTAAATTTTTAAAACACAAACAATAATAATAAAATTAGCAATAATAATGTTTCATGACTAAAATAACTTATTATCAAATTATGTGTAATTACACATTCAATTTTAATTAAGTCTTGAAAGAGTTAATATTGCGTGCTGAAATAAGTTTTATATATATTTTTATAAAAATAAATATATCATGAAAAAAAAAAGAAACAGGGAACGTGTTGCAATATCCTTGAAATAGCAAATGAAATTATGATACAAATACATTTTATGGCCATTGCTACGTGATGATAAATTCAACGATAGGCGGAAAAAGTAGCCATTGCATCCTGCGAGCTCGAATGGTATCGTCTTCCGGACAAAAAAGCACGTAGCGTTGTATTGCTGATTATTATGTCTAATGCGCCGACCAAAATCTCTGGAAAGTTCATCGATCTCTCGCTCAAAACATTTGGTGATGTAAGTAAATTACTTTCTACGAAAGATTATTTAAGTAGGTTTTAGCTTTTTTTAAAGTAAGTCTGTGTTTTAATTATAGTAGCGTTAAGCGACATCAATATTAATTATTTTATATCTACACATTGCAATAAGACAATTAGAATCCTTTTTTATAAAATAAATATCATGTCATTTACATATGTCAATTTTACTAAATGTATTCTTATTACTTACAATGACGATAAATGTGGTTAATTGAAAACAAATCAGAGAAGAAAACAGTTGAAAATATTTTTAGGTCATGAAAACAGCGGGGACATTTTTTAATATGCTCCGAAATGTAATCGATTGAATCATTAAATTTTAATAGTTGAAATTGTAATGTTAGTTGTTTTATACCATTATATTATGTGAATCAATTGCATATATTGATTCGAATACAAAATATATATATATATATTAAAATGTAAAAGTAATATAAAATATCATTTAATTATATACAGAGTGTTTCAGTAATGACCGCAATGCAAAAACTGCAAAATGATAAAGAATTTTTCAATATTTAATTTTGTTTTATTAATTCATATCTCATTAAATATTTTTATTAACACATTATTTTATTAGTAACAACAACATAAATGTTACTTTTTTGACAAAATTAAAAAATAATAATTGATATTTTAACTCATACATATAAAAACATTAGAACATTTAACACACGTCAAACGAAACCATTTTTTTCTGATAGGCGTTATGTTACAATTATGTTGCGAAGACATGAAGATAAACATGATCATTTTCCTAGTTAATATAAAGTTTGACAAATGAATACGAATACTTTCTTTAGAATCGTCCTTTTCGACAAGCAACTTTCCTTGCAAACTCTATCACTGTACTTAGTTTCTATTTTTCATACAATGATTAAATTCTTATTGCGTGCAAGTTCATATTCTAACTGAGTTTACTTCACGATCAATTGTTATTTTCCACCATAAGTCGTGACTCATGACGCGAATTAAACATTAAATAATGAAGAAAATATTTTAGATTATTAAAAAGGGATATAAAGCACAATCTAATATTTTAATTATATATTTAAATTTCAATTATCAAAATTTTAATGTT